GGTTTATGAGCTCATTGCTGTCCTAATTTAGGATCTTCTTTTGAATAAATTCTTGAAAATGTTAAAAAAGAGAGAGAGAGAGAAAGGGAGCCCGTGCTGGCTCTCGACGTTCCTGAACTTAGGCATTTTACCATTATTCTTGGATTGTTTGTTGTAAACGTTTTTTGTGGTGTAAACGTAGCTTGTAGAATATGTTATGAAAGAAATATATTAATTCGTTATCGTTAAATGGACTGAACTTAGCATAATTTTTACTAAATAGTCCAAAATAATCCGCTCAACGATAGAATAGTTATAACTAGGGATGCACGGGTACCCGGCCGGGTATTGGGCTACCCGGTAATACTCGGCTCTGGCCGAGTGTCGAAGTTAGGCATCTAAGCCCTTATCTTTGTGGCAACTAACGCGGTACTGAAAGATACAGTCAATAATTAGTTTAGTTATAAAAAAAAAACGTGTTTCGAACAACAAAAACTGACCGCCCGCTGAAAGTCGGGGGATTCAGAGCACATTGGGGGGTTAATAACAGGCATGGCTTTAGAAGTGGATTTCTGGGGAAAGTGGAGGTTAGGGTTTGAGAAGTTGGGGTAAGGCATTGAAAGTTGAAAGTAAAACTTGAATGTTCTGTTGGTGATTATTCAGTTAAATGTAATAAACATCAGGTTTGTTTCTAGTTTTTGTGTATCTCGTTTTGTTTGTTTTCGTGTTGGGGGTGGGGGGAGGCCCCGGCCGAAACATAGTGATCGAGTACTCGGACCCGGTATTCGGCCAGATTTTACTACCTGTGCACCCCTAGTTATAACAATAGAATGAAATGCTTGTTTATTGAAAACTTTTGACTTAAGTCATATAAGGTCTATCTGATGATATATTTTCTAAATTTTGAATTGATGGACTAGAGGAAATGAAACCAGTCAAGAGCACTCACCGCCAACTCTTGCGTTACCCTTATTTGATTGGCCAGTAGGATTTGATCGTACTTTTGCAGCACACTCACACTAACCGCAAGACTACCCCTGTACAAAAATCAAATGGTACAGTATATAAGTTTGACCAAATGTTGAATAGGTTGGTGACTTGGTAAGTTCCAGTCCAACCTGAAAAGTCGTTTGAAACTCAGAATCACATTATAAGTTTCATTTAGGTAAATCACGCGAATTATCTATGTAGGAGAAAAGGTCCAGATATAATGCTTGCTTGATTTCAATTTATGGAGTGTCTATGTTTTTTGGTATAGATCTAGAAGATTTTGTTTGTTTGAAGTTAAGCACAAAGCTAGCACAGATAGCCCATTGTGGCTGCCCACCATACCGCTGTGCCACTGGGGGCAGATCCAGAAGAAGAGGGTGGCGAAGCATAGTATTAATTCAACAATAGTACCAACCTACTGTCTCGTTAACACAGACAATCTGGGAGTAAGTGAAATATAAACTGAAGTAACCCTCTTTTTGTTCTATTTTATTTTTGAAGTGGTAATTGTTCAGCTTTATTATAATATTTAGAGAATTTATTAACTTTGTAAATGTACAAATAGACACCCCTAAAGACGAAAATTGAGGTTTCTGTACTTGTGTAAGGTAATAAAGCTCCCTTTTAGTTTTGTTTGTAATTAAGCACAAAGCTACACAATGAACTAACTGTGCTCTGTATCGAAACCCGGTTTCTAGCGTTGTAACTACGGGAGGGGGGGGAGTTTGTTTGTTTGAAGAGTTAAGCACAAAGCAACACAATGAGCTATCTATGCTCTGCCCACCACGGGTATCGAAACCCGGTTTCTAGCGTTGTAACTACGCAGACATACCGCTGTGCCACCGGCGGAGGTGGGGCGTTTGTTTGAAGAGTTAGGCACAAAGCAACACAATGGCCTATCTGTGCTCTGCCCACCACGGGTATCGAAACCGGGTTTTTAACAACAGCGATACCCAGTGGGCGATCATGCGTTCTATCTCATCATTTTAATCATTCATATATATATATGCTAATATCTAACAAGTATGTAAAATCTCTTCTTGCGATAGTAGAAATTGTGCTTAAATTAGGTTTGTGGGAACGCTAAGAAGTGTAAAAAATTATCTGAATGTTTTTATAAATTTTAAAATTTATTTCTAACAAAACGTTTTTTTTTCCCCAAGATTTGTTTGTTTGTTGTAGTTAAGCGCAAAGCTAACGCAATGGACTATCTGTGCTGTGGCCAACACGTTTTCTTCTAGACAAGTTACATTTAGATACATAAGGATACTATAGCTGACTTTATTGAAATGTTTTTGAAACAGTTTTGATTTACTTAGAAAATATTTACACGTGTTTCGCTTGTGTTTTATAAAATCCTAAATGTGACTGTGACCAAGAAACC